CAGATACTACATGTGTGATTAGATGTACAATACATGGTGGTAATAATCCAGCAAAAGCACATAGCATGAAAAGCAATATTTGCTTAATAGCTGGTCCGCCTGGTAACCAAGAGAACAGGTCAAATTCCCATCCCTTCCATGTCTGAACAGGAACATGTGCGACTTTTCTTATTTCCTTAGTTTTTTAACAATCTCTTCGTTATTGTCAATTTTCAAACAACAATCTGTTAAATTCAATTTTGCGCACACTCCTCCCTCTTCTGCCAATAATTAATTCAAAACCATATGATGTTGAAAGATATAATTTCTCATTTGAGTTGATTGGTCAGCTAACAAGTCTAAGGCATTGGCTGTTTGGTGATGATTTCCAATACTGCTTGTATGAATTTCAAGTGGCTGGGCCACCTGTTGAGATGGCCGCTTGTCTTTTCTCCACTTATTCCTGCCACTGTTTGCAAGACTGGTGTCTAATGTTCTTTTTCCTCGGTCTAAATCATCATATAATTTAATCTCTAAAGCTCTTCCTTTTTGTCCAGGCAGAAGAAAGAACAGTGGGCGAATATACCCCACATAACATATCCCACCCCAATTTGCTGGTAAACATTGCTAAGCTTGATCTCTGCAAATCCAATAATGACCCCATATGGCACGAGCACTGTTAAAAGATGGTCCCCGCTATCCTAATCCTCTTCCATGGGTTCCATTTTGCGATGTTAAAGTGTCACAATATACATTTGCCAACTCTGGTGCTAAGGGGTCTCCCAAGATCTTTTTGAGGGAGCCGTGCCCTTTGTTATAATACATATTTGATCCATTAGCACAGTAAGTACATTCCCATGCTATTTGTTTAAATGTACAATTACTCCCAGATACCCTTGAAGTGCTATAACTGTTCATTGGAGATCAAAATGTTGTGGATCCCTTAATTATCTATTAAGAAAAACAGGAGAAAATACATCTCAACTCGCCCTGTGAGTCAGAGGTTAAAAGCATTCCACTTTGTAACTATTGATGGTGTTACATGCAATATCATTATTAAAAATCTTGGTAGGCCTTATGTTACTTATTGATCATTTCAGTGCTGCAAGGTTTACCATTAAAACACAAAAATACATAATAACATGGGAGTGATAGTTACAAGCTATTTTTTATTCATTCAGTACAATCTTTACACACAATAGCACCACAATCCTATAAATTGAAGTTCCCCATGATTATTATAACTTTGAAAACTCATTTTCAGGCTATTTTTACTATCTTCTAATTGATACGATGGCCACCATTGATTACAATATTGTTTCAACTTTTCTTTTGTTAGGGAATCCCCTCTAAATTTGTCCCAATGTTTCAGGATGCATCCTCTTTCCTTAAGTACCTTTAGTCGCCACAATATCTCAATTCAAGCATTGCATCTGGTGTCCCTCACTGCCTGACAAGTGAGAGGAGCTGAGGGAGTCCCTGATCCAGTCGGTGTGCGCTGGAGTCCGCTCCAATCCCTCCTCCCTGTCAGATGCAGCAAGACAAACCAGGCAACGCTGTCACTGCAATCCCATCTGGGTTGCCAAAACCGTAGTCCCAAATCTGAGGTTCATCACCTGGTGTGCACTGAGCCAATCAGTCACATGGAGCTGGGATACTGTTTTATTCCAACATTGTGCAAGGTTGGGTGCTAGGTGATAGTTACACAAAGCTGCATTTCAACTTCTGTAATACCAAGTGTTAGTGGAATCATTATAGATACTCTGACACCACAGACTCCAATCCAGAGAATGAACCTTTTGATAAGAGTCAGCATACACAGACTACAGAAGTCTGTGGTTTTGTTTGTTTTCCTTTCCTTTTTCAGAAGTAATAATAAAAAAGGAAAATATACACAAAACAGCAACAAAACAACCACAAAGAGGGACAAACTTGAATAAGCTGGAAAGAAAAAGGACCTTTTCAAATGACAAAAGGACATAATGTCATAATACCAATTACAGGAACAATTATTTTCCTGCTAAAGAAACAAAATAGGCTTAATAAAATCTGAGAAACGATGTTAGAATTAAGACAAACAATAATTGGAGGGACAGCCAGAGGCCTTTGTACTGTGTTGCTAAAGATGAAATTCCTGGACTGGTGCAAGGGAGATTAGAGGGACAGCAAAGAAGAAAGCAGACTTCTTGATATCCTGGAAAAGAGAACCACATTCAAAACCAGATACTGTTAAAAGGAAGACAATAAAACTGTTGAAATTCACATTACTTTCTTTGTTACAGGTCTGCTGCCTATGGTCTTATATGTGCCTTAATCTGTACTTTTAATTTAAAAATAGAGTTAGTTTCATATGTCCACAGACTGTGAAAACCTCCTCAAACATTTCCAAGTGCTAAACCAAACTCAATTACAATATAGACCACAATGGGCCAGAACAGGTATATTGTCAGGGTGTCTTAGTCTTGGTTATCATCTGATCTTCCTTCTGATTTCTACTGTCTTTCTCCTGTAAGACAAAAGACAGATCCCAATTCACCCTGTGAGTCTGAGTTGGAGGTTAAAAGGAGGTCATAATCCACTAAAGCAGCTGTCCTGGGTAATGGAGCAGGTTTGCAGGGTTCTTAGTCTCCCTTTTCCTGGGGAGTATGAATGAATGTTTAGGACAGAATGCAGGAAGTCATGGGCATGTAGTAACTCTCCAGATAAATACTAAGGATGCAACATGATATGATGCTAATAACATACAATTACCAAATATCAGAATAAAATGCACTAAAAGAGATACCATATGAATAAAGAGTATCTTCTGTGATTTGTAGGATTCAATATAACCCATAATACACACAGCAAATAATGAAGCTATGTGTGTTAGAACAAACTGAGCAAGCTGCCAGGGAAGCATTAAAAAGATATTAGAAACACACAGTGCACCTCAGCTTCCTGTATTAATATTCAGAATCTTGACAATATAGGTCAAAAGCAACATCTGAAACACAAGAGATGGATATGAGAAACTTTCACCAATAGGTGAAGTCCAGATACGGCACAACCTTTCCCCTCCTGTTAGTTCAGGCATGGAACAATAAAGAACAAGACTTTAACATCTAGGATAGCAACCCATGAATGGGATGCTCCCTGAATTTGAGTTACCACTTTTTGAGACATTTGGCACTGCAGCAGTTAAATGTATGGTGTTGGCACTCAGTACCTGTCATCAATTGTAAGCTGGCCAGGCAGAATTAAAAGCAAAGTGCACACAAGTAATAATGCCTCTGTCTTTTAAGTCTGTTACCACCCTGACTGTTTGTCTTAAAGGGGCTTGAACAGCAGGACACTGTGTCTTCATTCTCCCAGCCACTGGACTGAAATTCGTATCCTCTCTGATTGTACACTTGTCCTCCCTGTCACTCTCCCCTGTATACCAGGGTGGAGAGGTAGAGCTGAGGGTACCAACAACTGCATGTCTTCTACATTCTCATCCTCTTTCACTGACTTACAACAACTTTCCTTTTCATACCATAATAATTTCTTAAAGTCATAAAACCATCCACACACGGCACATAATCTCATCCTCTCTTACGTTTGCAAAACAACATTAACTGCAATATAATTGTCCTGGTTTGTTATAAATAATAGTGGTGATTTCCCCCCATCTTTCAGGGTTTAAAGTGGCCACCAACCATTACAGTACATTATCAAATTTTTTAGATAAGGGGTTACTTCCAAACTTATTGTAATATCTCAGAATATATCCAAATGGTGCACATTTGGTAATGTCAACTCCTGCTGAGGATACATTACCCATTTTAATAACACAAATATAAGACACAAGTAAAACAACAAGACCTTTTCAGAATATCACTTTTAGACTGTCTCTCATTTTAGTCAGATCCCAATTAATACACAGAAGCAAAAACCTTAGTCAAATAAACAAAGGAAGTATTTCAAAAGACCAAAATTACCACAACCAGACAAATCTTAATAAAATCACAAAGATAGAAACTGTAGTCCAGTAAACAAATTTATCAAAGTTTTAGTAGGGGCTATAAAACAAGTGTCCTGGCTTGAGCCAGGATTAAGTCAATTTTCCTTTTACTGATTTTTTTTTTCCTTCAGTAACCTCTCTTTTAACTAGCAGCAAGTGTTCCAGCTAGTGGACTGATAACACTGGAGTATTTATGTTACTGACAGGACTCCATGGTCACATCTTTGCCCTGCCAGCTCAGATGCAGAGAAAGGTCAGAGATCACAGAAGACAACTTCCTTCCTGCTTCTTCTTCCCTTTTCTTCCATCTGTGCCTGGCGTCCAGGGACGATTCCATCTATCCATCACTGTTGACCCCTAGGCTAGTGCATTCCTGAGTCTCATAACTTTGCGCTCTCTCTGGCAGTGGTCTGGGACTTTTCAGGACTGTTCACAGCTAAGGAGAGTGTTGTGGGAGTTGCTGGGGTTGGGGGGAGGCAATAGGGTTTTGCACATTCCTGAACACATTTGTATGTAGTTGTACATATTTTCTTTTATCATTAGTATTTAATTAAAGTTGTCTAGTTTAGTTTTCAATCCAGAAAGTCTCTCTCATTCTCTGTCTCCTTCCCTACCTGCGGGAGGGGGGAGAGGATTGAGAGCATTGTTGTATCTGGTTTAATTGCTGATCCTGAGTCAAACCATGACAAGCTATCAGCAAATCTCTTTTCATTCTGAGCCTTCTAATCCACATCCACCCTCCGCCCCTGGGCTGTCCATGGGGGCGGAGGCAGCTAGTTTCCCTGCAGCTGCATGGAGACACTCGGGCTATGCAGGTCATTTAAGGGTTTATTCCAAGATTTCTTCTTCCCCCCCCACTCGGGGAAGCCCATTGTGTGACGAGCTCCTGCAAAATTTTAGTCTCTCCATTAATTCTTGTGGGATGCCTTTACGGACTCCCTCCATCCACAGGTCTCTTCTCGTGTCTTTAGTATTCGTGGCACCCTGTGTCCCCTTTCCCCTAAAGGGTGCAGGCAGCTGAATGCGCCCTAGTCCTTTACTTTCTACTCTGCACCACAGGACCATACTTTCGCCCATAGTCAATGAGCTCTTGAGCTACCTCCCCCCACGTCCATGCTTTTTGTTCAGAGGACCTGCAATCAGGTGAAAGTGCTATTTCTAATGCTGTTAACAACCTGTCTTGAGAACCAATACTCTGAATTCTGCCTTGTAGCTGTATTCCCATTGCTTTTAAGGAGTCAGGGAGTCCCTGTATCAGAGGGGTTAATCTTTCGGGATCCACAGGTAACAACATAGAACTGTTGTGGATCTGACTTCCTTTCATTCATCATTTGGAGACAAGCTTCCTTTTGCACACTTTCTACTAACTGGTCGACTTCCCTTTTTATGGCAAGGGGGTTTCCTCTCTCTGGTGGTTTTAATCCCCCTATCCAATAAGCAGCACGCTGAGTGAGGGTACAGCGGGCTCTATTATCACCCATGGTTAAAAATACCTTGGGTCCCCAATATTCATTTGCTTTCTTTTCAGTTAACATGATCTCATCCCCCCCCAGCAAAGAGATCCTCCACACATACTCTGTCTCAGATTCCTTGAGGGATCTACCAAAATATTTTCTTAATTTGGCAAGTTCTAAAGTGGAAATGGGTACCTCTTTTGTTATCATCTGAGGTTGAGTATCGTGATCACCATCTTAAAGATATTCTGTGGTCTCAGGAGGCTGGGGGGGGGATGCATTTATAACTGATCTACTCTTTTCCGTAATTCTTCTAACTCCTTGGAGGGATATAATCCACTACCAGTATCAGATTTCTCCTCGCTGCCCCCCTCTGCCTTGGCAAAATTCTCCACATCCCCTGAGAGGACTTTCACTTTGCTCTTTTCTTGTTCTAATTTCTCTCTAAGGGATTTTACCTCTTCCTGTGCGGCTGACACTGCTGCTCCAAATGCTGCACAAACTATAGCTTTACCCTTACCAGGTTTGCATTTCGAGTGGGTTTGCAACAGGATCATCCTTTCCACAAGGGCGGAAGCATCTGACCAATGTTCTTGGGCCCATTGTTTTCCCCCAGGAGAGGGTTTGGCTTTAACCTTCTCCAAAAATTCCTCTAGTGAAGGGGAATTATCCATGGTGTCTATACTATCAACTCTAAAGAGCTTAACGTTGCAGAAGGGTACCACTTATCTCTCTGCCCCCCTTTCACTTCCGCATGGTACAACTTAGTGTCGGGACATCCACAACAACAAATTTAGGCCCCCAAAGTGGTCTTCTGTCCATACATCAATTCTTATCCTAGAATGATCGCTGAGGCTGGTGTATGGCTTACAAAAGATCAGGCAGAACACCCTTGCTTTCTAAACTTCTTCACTTTTGTGAGGAGCCTAGGTGCGGCTGGATTCTGCTTTCCCTCTCCTGGTGCAAGTCATACAGCAGCTGCACCCTTTTGTCTGGCGGGATCCTGCTGACTACGCCAATTAATGTCATGAACCGATAGTCAGATACATCGAGATTCTTTGTGATCCCACCATTGCAAAACAAAGATAATACAATATAGGGTGCACAAACAGGCTTTTATTTAGGTGCAGAAAAGCTGGTAAGAATTACAACTATTTGTCATAAGCTTATAATAGATGTGATAACTAACCCTAAAATACAAAAGAGAAAGATCAGGAAAGAAAAGAAAGAGTTAAAGGAAAGTCACCACCCAGAGATCCGGCAGTGTCATGTTGGTCTTGTAGTAGAAGGGGGGGTGGTCCGGTCCTAGGAGGCATCTTGAGACTGGCACTCTTATGTCTCAAGACAAACACCAGACACCCTGAGTGTCTGAATACACTATCTCTTGGATTGTTCGAGACAAGCACCATATATCCTGAATGTTACAGCAAGAAACTAGTTTTTCTCTAGCATCACCTTGAGATTACCTTTTCTAGTACTGTTACTAGAAAAGTCAGTGGCAAGAAAGGAATGGGAGTTTTTCAGTATAGTCTTCCTCTCTCTGATCTATACATTTCTAAAGTAGAACTGTCCTGGTTTGAGCCAGGATGAAGCCAATTGACCTTTTACAGATTTTTTTTTCCTTCAGTAAGCTTTCTTTTAACTAGTCACAGTGTGTTCTAACTAAGGGTGATAAGACAATAGAATGTTTTTGTAACTGCTGGGTCTTCAAGGTCGCACCTTCAGTCTGCCTGCTCAGACACTACAGGGAGATTTATGACCCCCCCCCCATAGGAGGCTGAATTAGACAGACAGCAAAATTGGCCAGAGATATTCCATTCCATATATCTACATAAGCTCAGAGGAAGGTCAGAGATCACAGAAGACAACTTCCTTCCTTCTTCTTCTTCCCTTCTCTTCTGTCCATGGCTGGCGTCCGGGGAGGACTCTGTTCATCCATCACTGTCGACCCTTAGGATCGAGCTCTTCTGACCCTCATAACTCTGTGCTCTCTCTGACAGCTCCAAACTTTTTTGGACTGTTCGCAGTTAAGGAGAGTGCTGTGAGAGTTGCTGGGGGTGGGGGGAGGCAATAGGCGTTTGCACATTCCTGAACACATTTGTATATGTATATATTTTCTTGTATCATTCATTAGTGTTTAATTAAAGCTATGTAGTTTAGTTTTCAATCCAGCCAAGTCTCTCTCTTTTTCTCTCTCTCCTTCCCTACCTGGGTGGGAGGGGGAGGGGATTGAGAGCATTGTTGTCAGACCTGAGTCAAATGCTGACAGAAATAAATCAGTATGTTTTTTGCTTTCTTTGAGACAAGGCTTGGTTTGGCATATTTTGCCCTGAACTGTCTGTATTCCGCCTTCTCCAGTCACCAGATACTCAGTTTGCAGAAGATGAATCGCTAGCCCAGGTCCTCCCCATGTGAAGTGTCACAGCAGAACCAGAAAAAGAATCTGGTTCTGTTGCTGGGCTTGGTGAGAGTCTGAACAGTGGAGGCAGCAGCAAAAGGAGCCCAGGTTGTCACAGAAAGCTGCAGCCAGTTTGCTGTGTTCTCCTGAAAGCTGTGCTGGGGGAAAATGGAGCAGCAAGAAATGAAGTCTTGTGTTCTGCAGGCTGAGCCTGGCAGTGGAGATAGCAAAGTGCAGGCCCAGTGTCCTGCAGAGGTGCTTGATGTTGGTGGCAGGGGCTGGATCAGTGCTGGAATTTGTCCATTGGGGAAAAAGAAAGCTGTTCTTCATTTGTTTTTCCTGCCAAATACATTTGGCTGAGATTCACCCAGCAACAGAAGGTCCCTGCAGAGCTGTCTTACAGTGCTGGTAGCTCCCAAGCTACCCTTTGCATCTCCAGCTAATGCTGTGGTCACAGAGACACTCATGCCTCTGCTTTTCATTCAGCAGCTCTTTCTGAGTCCCAGCTCTCCAAGTGCTGCATCTCCTGGGTCATGTGCAGTTTTCAGATCTTGAAAACAAAAGTGACCAGTCTGTTCTGCAGACAGGGTGCTGCTGCTGGCCCTGCCAGTTGGCTGGTGGTCTTGCCAGTTGCTGGTGGAATAGAAATTTGAAAACACACAGCCCTGGGAATCTGTGGGCTGTGTTTCCCCCAGAAATAGCTGTTCCCTGCCCTGTTCCCCAGGATAGCAGAACAGTTCCTGTGTTCCAAGCAAGACAGATGCATCACCCATCCTACAAGAAGACTCACCAGTGAGGTGGTTGTGGTCAGTCTTGGACAATGCAGCTCTTCCCAGCAGTCTATGTAACTCCTTCAGCCAGTGCTCCCTGGACAGCTGAGCTCCTGGAGGCTGACCTGGATGCTGGCTTTCCTCTTAAGGAATCTTTCTGTGGAGCTGAAATATGTCATGTCATTTATATTTCCTGCTGCTGCTTTCTTTCAGGTCCATCACACGGGCTTATCCTGCTTTGAGTGGACTTAAATCCTGAGGAGGAGTGGAGAGGAATTGGTGATAAAACTTGGGCTGTGGGTTTTGCTACAGTGTGTAGTAGAATTTGTGGTGCTGCTGCCTCATTTAGCTTTTGCAAATCTGCCAGGCTTCTTTCATAAGCTCAGAGCCACTTCCTTCGTGTCCTGTGTAACTTTGCAGTGTTTGTGGTGTAAGTCTTTGATGAGACTGTCCCTAATGCTCTGTCTGCTTCTGTATGCTCCTCTGAATCCATAGTTGCACAGATGTCTTCTTTTTTTTTTTTTGCCTTCCAGCAGCTGTGCTGCCACCAGGGTCATTTCCTAGGGTGGGCTGTGGGGATGGTTTTTTGCTGAGGTTCTGGCACTACTGTGTTTCTAAGCAAATGAGGGGGTTGAGCAAAAGGATCTGAGCATCATTTGCTAAACCCAACATGTGCCTTGCAAAACTTGTCTTTTAAAATTAATATTGTTTCCTGCAAAGATTTTCAAAGTCAGGCTTCCACCAGCAGCTTCTGCCTCCATATTTCTGATGTCCCAGCTGTTACTGGCTGAGAATGGTAACATTTGGGTATGAACAGCTCTGTGAAGCACAAAGTCGTGCTCCAATATTAGAGAAATATTGAATCCTAGTGGTTGATTGTGTTTCCTGGGGAAGAGGGAGGACCTGCTTGGTTTCTCCGCAAAAACACTCAAGTTGGTAGAACAGGGAAGTAGCAGATCACACCCTGGCAGCAAGATTGATGTTATCCACTAGCAAAATCTGTATAAATAAACAAACAGAAGTGTTGGAATGAATTGCCTGGAGAAGTTCAGGGAGCTCCATTACGGAAGATCTTTAAACCAGCCCAGCCCCCTTGGTCACTTCTGACAGCTGTGGCATATTTGGAGGCCAAGAGGATGGGTTGGCCTCGTGAGGACCAGGCCACGTTGTCTCTCCACAGCTAGATGCACCTCTGCTTTTACTTCAACATTTGCAAAAGCAGTTCTGTAAACTCAGCCTGCATCTTCAAATAGTTTTGTCCCTCCAATTTTGTCTCTTCAGCTCCCCAGATGCTTTGCTGGACAGCCTTGCCCAGCTTTATTAAGCTGCCATTCCAGGACTGTCCTGGTTTGAGCCAGGATGAAGCCAATTTTTCTTTTTACTGATTTTTTTTTTCCTTCAGTAAGCTTTCTTGTAACTAGCAACAGTGTGTTCTGCTAGGCTGATAAGACAGTGGAATGTTTTTCTAACTACTGAGGCTTCAAGGTCGCACCTTCACTCTGCCGGCTCAGACACTATGGGGAGATCTGTGACCCCCCCGTAGGAGGCTGAGTTAGACAGACAGCAAAACTGGCCAGAGATATTCCATTCCATATATCTACGTAAGCTCAGAGGAAGGTCAGAGATCACAGAAGACAACTTCCTTCCTTCTTCTTCTTCCCTTCTCTTCTGTCCATGGCCGGTGTCCGGGGAGGACTCTGTCCATCCATCACCATCAGTCCTTAGGCTCGAGCTCTCCTGACCCTCATCACTCTGTGCTTTCTCCTGCAGCAGCTCCGGGATTCCTCGGGACTCTTCCCAGTTCAGGGAAGTGCTGTGGGAGTTGCTGGAGGTGGGGGGAGGCGAGAGGCTTTTGCCCATACCTGAATATATATGTATATAATTGTATATATTTTCTTGTATCATTCATTAGTGTTTAATTAAAGCTATGTAGTTTAGTTTTCAATCCAGCCAAGTCTCTCTCTTTTTCTCTCTCTCCTTCCCTACCTGGGTGGGAGGGGGAGGGGATTGAGAGCATTGTTGTCAGACCTGAGTCAAATGCTGACAGAAATAAATCAGTATGTTTTTTGCTTTCTTTGAGACAAGGCTTGGTTTGGCATATTTTGCCCTGAACTGTCTGTATTCTTCCCTGCAGCAAAGTCTGTTTGAGTCACGTTAGATTTTTTTTTTTCAACAGGATAAATATGAAGTTCTTCTTTATATATGTACTAATATTCAAATTACTGACTTGTTAAATATCCAGTTCATGGGACTGGGAGAGTAAAAACCTCATTAGAGCAAGTATCTTCTCCATACACACAGAAATACATATCAGTATTGACAAGATATACTCTAGTGAAGTTACCAGTCTCTGTGCTGCCTTATTACTGAAAATATAATTTACCAATCGCTCTTTGAGAGATCAAATCAGTGTGGTAGTTAAAGTAAGAGCCTACTTAATAATTAAAAAATCTTCTTAAGTCATTGAATGAGAACTTAGAGCACCTTCCAGTACCTGAAGGGGCCT